GGGGGGGGGGGGGGGGGGGGGGGGGGGAAGGTCATAAGAAGCCTGGCTCAATTTAAGTCAGCTACTAGCTTGAGGATGCAGACAGAGGAAAACAATGAGAAAGTGACTTCAGCAAAGAAATAGTAATATTTTTCGTAAGAACCAGACACTGCAAGGAAATCCCAAAAGAAAATTCTAGGATGCTGTCACTTTAAGACAGTATTACTTTTATGTAATTCAATCACCTTTAAGTTTTGAGGAGGATAATGATTATAAGACATGGTCAGTGACCTAACATATTCATAATCCAGAAGAGTTAGATATAAGCCAGGCATAGCAGAAACTACAATAATATACAGAGGATGATGATTGTTCTATAATCAATAAATGCTACTAAATTAAAGGGAGATAGACTGTGGTTTCATTGCATGATAGCAATACATGCATGTCTGATGAAAATCTAGTGACTCATCCTGGCTAGTACAAACGGTTCATGTATAAAGACCTACAAAGAGACCATATGGAGCCAGACTGTGAAAGGTCCTAGCTCAGGCTAAAGAAATTCTATACCAAAGTCAAGGAGAAGCAATGAAGGTTTTTGAACAGGAATGTAACAGATTAGGTGGCATATTAAGTAAATTAATCTGGAAGTGATACAGTGTGGTAAGAAGAGACAGATAACAGCAACCAAAGGATTTGAACAGACATTTCTCCAAACAAGATGTACAAATGACCAACAAGCACACGAAAAGATGCTCAACATCATTAGCTGTCAGAGAAACATAAGTCAAAACCACCACTAAGATGGCTATAATAAAAAAAGACAGATTAAAAAGTATTGGTAAGGATGTGGAGAAACTGGAACTTTTTTGCATTATTGGTGGGAAAGTAAAATGGTGTATACAACCTGTATGATTCCATTTATGTGAGAGATCCAGAATAGGCAAACCAGTAGACAGAAAATAGTGGATACCTAGGCCTGTGGGTGGTTGGAGGAAATGGGAAGTAACTGCTAATGGGTATGGGGTTTCTGGAGTGATAAAAATGTTCTGAAATTGACTGTGGTGTTAGCTGTGTTAATGTGTAAATGTACTAACAAATAATGACTTTTAAATGGGTAAACTGTATAGGATGTGAGTTGAACTTCAATAAAGTTGTTAATGTAATACAGAACAACAACAAAAAGACGACAGCAATAGCCCAGGCGCCCATGTTTAGGAAAAGAGAAGCGGGGAAAAAAAAAAAAAAAAAAAAAAAGAAAAGAAAAAAAACCCCTGCAAAATATCCAAGAATATCCTGAAATAAAAATGTAATTTTTACATTTCCAAACATTTTGTTCATTCACCAAATACTGATTCTGCACCTGATACGTAACAGCCACTAAAGATTTTGTTCTCTTAAGATTATTTTTTAATCTTTGGGGGGGGGGAAAGTAAAGTAGTGGATCTTTTGAAGACTTACCAGTGATCTGAAGTTGTGATTTCATGGTCAGACTACCCATTGAACCAAGTTGTGATCCACTGTCAGACATACCACCAATAGGACAGCAAACCTGAACATAGCAAAGGAGACACTGTAAAAATTCCCATTTAAAAAATATGTAAATAGTGCTAACCTGCTTATTTCCTACTGAAGGCCCCACAGTAACCAATGGCCTTCACAATTCTAAACACAATTTTCAATTCTAGTATTCATCCTATCTAACCTATCTACAAAATCTGACATAGTTTATCATTCCCTCCACAATGGTTTACTTTCTTCACTTGAGTTGCCAAGACACATTCTCCAGGTTTATGTCCTACCTCACTGATTGTTCCTTTCCAGTTTCTTGTAAAGATTCCTTTTCTTCTCTTCACTCTCTTAATGTTGGCATATCCAAGAGTTCTTGGTTCCCTCTTCTCTTATTTATCTATACTCAATCCCTTGAGGATATTATCCAGTCTTATGGCTTTAAATAACATCTATACAACATGCCTCAACCAACTTTATATCTCTAGCCTAAACCTCACTCCTAAAATCTAAACAGCTTCACATGGGTATCTAAAGACATCCCCTACTTAACATACCCAAAACTGAACTCTTTATCTTCCCTACAAACCTACTCTACCCTGTAGACATTCTCATCTCAGTGGACAGCAACTCCATCCTTCCAGAGGCTCAGTCTAAAAAACTTGGGAGCCATCCTTGACTCTTTTCTTTCCCATTTCCCTTACAAGCTGTAAGCAAATTCTATTATCTCTATATGCAAAATATATCCAGAATAAAACCATTTCTCACCACCCCTATTACCAATCTGACCAGTGCTGCCACTAGGAAAGCTATGACTTTCCTAGATTATGCCTCTCTCCTAGATTTCTCCAATAAATTTCTCCTAAATTTCTCCTGTTTCTAACTTTGTTTAGTCTCAGTATCTATTCTCAATTTAGGATGACTCTTATAATTTTCAAAACCTTGCAAAATGCTTAAATATCTGTTCCATATAACCAGCAAAGAAATATCTCCTAAATTTCTCCTGTTTCTAACTTTGTTTAGTCTCAGTATCTATTCTCAATTTAGGATGACTCTTTTATAATTTTCAAAACCTTGCAAAATGCTTAAATATCTGTTCCATATAACCAGCAAAGAAATGGCTATTGAATTATCCTAAATGAGCAACTCTAACACGTATCTTCTTCAGTACCTAATCATGGAAGAGTTAATTCCCATGTAGAAATAGCATAATTCATATAACACAGATTTTATAACAAAGTCAAAACACTTGGGCTTGATTCCTGGCTAAAATACTATAAGATACCATGAGTTATTTAATCTCTCTAGGTCCCAGTTTTTTTTGTCAGAAAAATGGGGATAGCACCACCTCTACCTCACAGGGTTGTTGTAAGGACTGAATGATGATTAGCTATGTGAAAAAATGCTCAGTAAATGTTTTTGTTACTTATCATTTATAGTGTTTGAATGAAACTAAGTTTGATCTTAAAAATCTGTTATGAGACTTTTGGAGATTGGGTAAGAATATTAGAAATATTTTGGTTGGGAAAAGGTAAAGATTAAAGTCAAACTAAATTTACTTAGCACTTACTATTGACAGATACTATGTAAGAAGTGTACAAATACAATAAGCCAAACAAAATATCTTGAAACTGTAAACACTGTCTTGAGTTTTTATACAAAATTAGGCATCCATTAAAAAATTTTAAATATAAAACAATTCTAATGACTCCGCAAGTCTGCCAATAAAACAATAATTCTTACTGAGATGAACTCTATAAAATCCGACATACTTCATTCTTTGACTTACCCATGAAAATGCTCAAAACTAAAATTTCACCTCAACTATAACGACTATCTCCCTTGGCATGGTATATTTTTCCCTTCTCCTTGTTTATTTAAATTGTACCATTTTGGATGTTTTATAGCCTACAATCAACTAAAAAAGCCCTTTTATTTTAAATAGGGAATGTATAAAGTCACTCAGTCACCCAGAATATAAAAGAAATGAAGTGTAACATAAAAGCCTTAACACTGCATTGCACAAGATAGTGTTCTGATTCAAAGTGCTTGTTATACAAAGGGCCCTCAAAGACATCATTACCACATTCTGTACAGTTATTACCTCCTCCTCAATACCCAGAAGGCTGTTTGCCACAGAACTACAACATTAACACAAGTAAATTAAGAGGCAGTGAGAAAAGCCCAATATTTGGGTCCTGGTTTTCTGCATGATAAAAGTACTATTCTAGTTGCTAATCTATATCAGAAGTTTATTGCTGGAAAATGCCCTTTATAAGTACCGTACGGATTATTTATTCTGAATTAACACTAATTTCAAAGTTGCAAAAAATAAATTTAAATCTCTACAGAAATAAAATATATTTTAAAAAGTCAAATTAGGGCCGGCCCGTGGCTCACTCGGGAGAGTGTGGTGCTGATAACACCAAGGCCCCGGGTTCGGATCCCATATAGGGATGGCCGGTTGGCTCGCTGCCTGAGCGTGGTGCTGACAACACCAAGCCAAGGGTTAAGATCCCCTTACCGGTCATCTTTAAAAAAAAAAAAAAAAAAAAGTCAAATTAACTTCGTGTGGAAAAGATCAATGAAAGTACAGACTGCAAATATTTTTAGAAACAGTGATTCTTTCTAGAAAATTGCAATGTGCTCTGCCAAAAACATGCTGGTAATTACAATAACTTAGGTACTTATACATACTACTTTTACATAATTGAAATTCATTAAGTATTTTTAATTCTTAAAAAAAAACAATCTAAATATTAACTAGCAACCAGTTAAATAAATCACATATTCATACCACAGAACAGACTACTTTGCAGCCATTAAAACAAATAACTTTTTTTGGCAGCTGGCCAAAAACCTGGGATCCAAACCCGTGACTTTGGCATTATAAGGCTGAGCTCTAACCAACGGAGCTAACTGGCCTGCCAACAAATAACTTATTAATAACTGAAGGGGAATGATTCCAAGAACAGTTTTAAGAAGTTACAAAATACATACAGTATTACATTATTTCTGCAAAGAAAAACAAACTATATATTTCTATAGGTTCATATACTTATAAATAAATGAAGAAAAAGTATACATCCCAAACTGGTAACAGTAGCTACTTTGTAGAAGAGGGGGTCTGTGTACTAAAAGAAGGTGGTCTTGGGAAACTTTAGTTTTATATGGATAACATGTATCATTGATGACTTGTACAATTTTAAAAAGAGCAGAAAGAATAGAGAATCTATACTTCAAGTACCACCCTCTCCTCAGGTCTGACAATTATTTACAATTGCATACATGGTTCGAATAATTAAATTGAAAATCTCTGTACCTGGGCAACCCATTCCAGTCTTAATAGCACCACCATTCATCCAATTGCTCAACTCAAAAATACAGGCATTATTATTGATTCTTCTTTCTCTCACCAGTTCTAATAATTCTACTTACAAAATATACCCTAAAACATATACCTACTTTTCTCCATCTCTTCTTAACCATCCTAGTCTAAGCTACAAACATTCCTTCCCTGACAAATTACTACAAGACACTAAATTGGTCTCCTTGACCTTTTACTTGCTCCCTCTCTCTCCCCCACCCATTCTTCACATAGCAACTAGAATAATCTTTTTAAAATGAAAATTAGATGATGCTCTATTCTGCTTAAAATACCTACTAACTTCCTATCTCACTTAAAATACATCCAAATTCCTTACCTTAAGCTTACAAAAGCCCCACTCATATTATTCTCCCCTTCAGCCATTGCAACTTCAGCTTTTTATTTCTCAAACACCCTAAGGTCTTTGCACTAACTGTTCCCTCTGCCAGGAATGTGTTTTCCTCTATCTTTAAACAGCTAACACCTTCTTAACTTAAATACCACCTCTTCAGAGAGGTCTGCTCTGACTACCCAATTTAAAGTTGCCATCTTGTTACTTTCTATCACATCGTTGAAATCTTTCTCATTTATTTGTTTGACTGTAAGGTCCATGAGAGTAAGTGCTTTCTCTACCTTGTGATCCAGAGCCTGAAATATTCTACAGTGGGTTTTTCTTTCTCTCTCTCTCCTTTTTTCATTAATTAACTGAAGTCCACGGTTTACATTAAAGTTCCCATTTTGGTCTTGTACAGTTCTGTTTTGACAAATGCATAATGCCATATATTCACCATTACAGTATCATACAAAATACTCTCACCACCCTAAAAATCCCTGTGCTTTACCTATTTATCCCTCTTTTCAACCCAACCCTCTGGTACCAGTAGTCTTTTCACTCTCTGTGGTTTTGCCACATTCAGAATGTCAAATAGTTTGAATCATACAATATAGAGCCTTTTCAGGCTGGTTTCTTTCACTCCAGTAATATGGTTAAGGGTCCTCCATGTCTTTCCATGGTTTCATAGCTTTTTTAATGGCTAAATAATATTTCATTGTGTAGTTGTATCACAACTGATCCATTCACCTAGCGAAGAACATCTTGGTTGCTTCCAGTTTGGAGCAACAATAAATAAAGCTGCTACAAAATATTCACTTGCAGGTTACTGTGTGGACATTCAGTTTTCAACTCAAATGGGTAAATAAGAATGCAACTGCTGAATGATAAAGGTGAGCCTATGTTTTAGCTCTGTAAGAAACTGCCAAATGATCTTCCAAAGTGGCTGTACCATTTTGCATTCTCATTAGGTTTGAAGGAGAATTCCTGTTGCTCGCATCCTCACCAGCATTTAGTATTGTCACATTTTCAAATTTAGCCATCCTAATAGGTGTACAGTGTTATTTCATTACATTTTACTTTGCAATAGCTTTATGAAATATGATGTTGAACATTTTTTCCTACGTTTATTTGCCATCTATCTATATTTATATCTATCTATATTGTTTGGTGATGATTCTGTTAAGTTTTTTTTTTCTTTAAAGATGACCAGTCAGAGGATCTTAACCCTTGACTTGTTGTTGTCAGCACCACGCTCACCGAAGTGAGCTAACCGGCCATCCCTATACAGGGAATCCGAACCCGTGGCCTTGGTGCTACCTGCACCACACTCTCCCAAGTGAGC